GACGGTTTCCTCCACAGCTGCGATCCAGTTTCCATATTAGCTTTAGTGCCAATCAAATCAAATTTCAATCAAATAATGAAATTTCAATCAAATGTCAATCAAATCAAAATAAGCTAATTTCCTGATGATGCGCAGACGACGAGGTGCCTTCAACAATGGTTGATACAAGCTTAATTTTTTTCGTTGTTCTCATTTATGCTCAGCCGTATCCGTGTAAATAAAGTCCTCAAAAATCGAATTACTTTCGACATTATTAAATTCTAGTAAAAAATCTCTGACCTCTAAACTAATAGTTTCAGACAGAAAAGCTCACCAACCCTTACTAATCATTCAGGATGAGGGACGCAATCATTGAATATATTTTTTCAATGCTTAAGATAGAAGAGTATTTGTTGAGCAGTGAGAAGTAGGGGCATGTCCCATCTAGTAAGGGAAAATAGACATGCATAGAACATTAATTGTTCTTTATTTAAAAACGAAAGCACAATATGACATAAGACGTCAAAGAAACACGACGGAAAGTTCCTATTGAACGCATGCCTATGCAAAGATAGTCATAACGAAAGCAAAATATAACTGAAATAAATAACTATATTATTTTTTAACAAACGCCAATGGAAGCAGCAACATGACGGTTCTATGGTGTAATGGTTAGCACTCTGGACTTTGAATCCAGCGATCCGAGTTCGAGTCTCGGTAGAACCTTGACATTTTTAGGGGCAGGGTGGCCCAGTGTTTGAAGAAGATTGGAGCAGAGAGGTGCGGGTTTGATCCCAGCTCTGTGCGCCAGTTTCATGGTCAGAATCGGCGAGGAGGCCGGGCGGTTAAGACAACAGAATTAGATCAGTGAGTTGAGAGTTCGAGACTGCAATAAGCTGTGAATGTTCTGTTACGTTTAGAATCGGCGACTGGCAAATGGCCTAATAAATGCTGAAACTGCTATATATATGACGTGTATACATAGGACAGGGGTCGGCAACGTGGTCGATATCCACTGCTAGAGGTCTGAGACAGAACTCCTGGGGGGGGGTTAATAATTTGAAAGGGGCCTGAATGGAGTCAACAAAATAAAATAAAAATAATTTGTAAGGTTTTTCAAGACCCTGCATACAAATCATTTTCTTTTGTTTTATAATAAAATTTCTGTCGGATTTTAATCTGCAAAATCGAATGATCAAATGAACAATTTTTATTTAAATATGTATAGAAAATGTTATGAAAAATACTAAACCAATCCTAATATCTATATGCTCAATATAATTGCGCAATATTTTGGTTCGTGCATTATAATTGAGCGTATAGGGGAGATATTGACGGATTGCTTAATATATCGCATGATTTTAAAGACTATTAAAAATATATTGCACAAACCGGAAGATATTGTGCCGAGTAGGGGCTACATTGCACAATATTCTCGCTCAGTGCGTCCCCAACGGTCGTTCGAAGCGGTTAAAAGAAACTACTTTTGGACTTCAATGAGCTCTATATTGTTCTCTAATCTTTAAGGAATTTTAAATACCAAGATGAAACTAATCGTTCGAAAAAGGAGAGCCGTACGAGATACTGCTTAAAATTTCTCTCCTGTTCATTTACTATTTAGGAACTTATTGTGAAACTTTCTTCCTGACAAACTTTTTTCTCATCCTATCAACAAATCAGCACTTTCACTAATTGTCTCTATCTGCAAACCTTCTTTTTTATATTCTATTTATACAATATCTGAGGAAACTCAAACAGTTCTGAAAAGATCCGGTCAATTGACACTATTTTAGATATTCTGTGAACAAATCACGAAAAGTAAAAGAATCGGCGACAGGCCACATCAGTCCTACTCTTCAGCGCCGACATCACTATGTTATGTTATGTTATGTTGCCTATGATATAACTTTCCGGCCTCATAATTGTGACACAACATGATTCAGTTTCGCTCTATATGTTTACTTCATAAAAGCCTGCGAGGGACTGTTTGCGCAAAAGGTTGTACGTGAAAGCGTGATTGTACAATATATTGCGCAACCCATAAAGAAGGCCGCCAGACGCTCAATAATAATGCGCAACTGAAAAATATTGTTCAATAATATTGAGCGTATATGGGTTGCTTTACGTGCACTTAATTCGTAACACTCAACAACTCTATTACTCGCGCAGCGTCTTTGTGTACTCTGAAAATGGCAAATCAGATGTACATTTTAATATTTATTTAGGAGGTCATCGGAATATGCTGACAGGAAAAATATGATTACGCAGGAAGTTAACGATCAATCGAAAGGAAACGCTTCTTGATTATTCATCCATCAAAAACTTTATTTCAGTTGATAATAGTGGCAACAGTCTGATTCACACCGCGACCGGCCACAGGCGAAGTTCAGGGGGGAAAGCAGCCGTGCACCACCAATTTTGTGCACCAATAAGCCCTGAATCGAACGCCTTGGATCTCTCCGGATATCCACCAATCAGCCGTGCACCACTCGGCTTTGTCCTCCTCCGGCCTTGACCATCACCTGCCCGTGCACCACCAGGCCGCGGATCGAATCTGATTTCCGGGCATCGTTAAATTACGTAATTTTACGTTAACCGCATCTGAGGTTAGGTTTCAGATAGCATGGTTCTGTTCCAAAATTTATCGTCCTTCGACAAGTGGCCGTTCGACCGAGGGCTGGTTCGACCCACGGCCTAGATACGGACGGCTGGAAGTGTTGAAGGCTACGTTCCGGAAGGCACGAATCATGATGGTCCATTACATCCAGGGCAGTTGTGGTCTTCGGCAGGTAACCCGTTCAGGGTTGCCAGATGGGGCCTTTTTCCGGCCAAATTTTTCAATTGTGGCCTATTTTGAAAAGCCTTGGCCTATCAACATTTACTTGGCCTTTTTGTCCCTTTAAGGCCTTTTATATTGAAAAATGTGTTCATTTAAACATTTTTTGTTATATCTTTGTCTCTCACTCAAAATTTCGTTTTGCCCACGTAACCGTCAACACTTCGTTTAGGTGGCAACACTGGCCGAATGCCGCCTTATCTGTCTGCGCTACACCATACCTAGTTGAACGCTGGGGCTATATTCAGCAATGGTTGAATTAATATATTAATTCAACCATGATATCCAGCTGCCAACTCATCATCTCGTACAATTTTACGACCGGTCTCCAAATTCAATGATCAAGGAATATCTCCCAAACTGAAGACGTCTCAAACATTGACACACTAGTGAGTTTCGCACCCTCGCTAGGTTAGCGAAAACTATTGGTCGAACTTCACCAATATGAATATCACAATTTTGCTTAACTAACTTCAAATGCGTTCGATCAAAAATTTCAAACGTTCTGAAAGAGAATACTAATCCAGTTTGGGATTATATTTTGCTTATCTTCAAGCAAAGGAAGATTAAGCTTGTGTATGGAAGTGCACATTTTACTGTTCTTCAACAGTTTATCGTTACTTTCAATTTGAAATTTAAATGCACAGTTTTCTTGTAATTATTTGCTGAAGATTTACGAATGTGCGCCAGCTGCAACCCTACCCTGTCTTTGTCGACGAACGGTAAGGTTTAGACGATATCGCTTGAGGCTGATACCTATACAATATCTGACGAACTGTAAGATTTTTTATAATGGTAATTGAGGTTGATGAAGACTCAATATCTGATGAACTGTAAGGCTTAGAAATTAGATTATGGTTCCTGAGGATGGGATTCAATACCTGCCATGACGGTCAGGCTCTAAAAACGTTGGCGAAAGTTGGAGTTGTGGCTGACGGCAGTGTTTTTATTTGTGCCACTGCAGACCAACATCCAACACATGTTGGTGACTTTTGCTGGCGAACTGAAAACGCCTGTATATAGTCATGTAATGATGTACATTGTACATATACGGATCTACCGTAACACTGTTTAAGTACCAGACATGAAAGGTTTAAAAATATGTTGAGATTACGTTGATTTAGATATAGCTTATCATGAATAAACAAGAAGCTAACGAAAGAAATTAACATTTATAAATTTCTTCTGCTGGAGCGAACTTGGTCCATAACCGTCCATTGAGGACTGGAGTCGACGAATAAAAATTTAATTTGACGAATTCGTTTTCTCGGATACCTTTTACTGTGACTTACAGTACCCAAGAAAGTAACGTTTTACGTACAGATTTTCGCATAACAAAGTTGATTTTGTGTTGATCATACCGTCCAATTTTATGTAATTTTAGATATAGTTTGCGCGTCATGGAATCGAAGTCATTCCAGTCATCGTAGAACATGCGGCCGCTCCGCTCTGAGCGGTTTTTCCCATGCCAGTTCTGATTTAGGTTAGAATTTTTTTACACGAAGTCGCTATCGTTAGGCGCCGATGAAGGCTTGTTATTATTATTTTCTCCCAGCCATCGTCGATGCTGCTGAGCTCAGTGCCGGTCTGCTCGGTGATGCACGTAGACTTATGAATTTAGGAGCGACTAATTGTGTGAAGCAAGAGCCAAGAACGGTGCTGCTATAAGTATATATGTTGTGGCGACGTGCGTTGTGATCATGTTAAATGAGGTTTCTGTAAGGATTGACCGTAGAATATTTTCTTTGTCTTTCTTTATTGTGCAACAAATAGAGATAATTTTTTTTGAAATTCTAAAATTCTTTTGAGGATTTTGTTTGTGACGTATGTTTTTTTTAACTTGTTTGTGACAATATCAATTTATTATAACTTTTAAATCAGTTTTACCGACGTATGAACGATGATGAAATGGTCAATAATTTTTTTCAAGACGGAGAAACACTAAATTGATCACATCAACGTTACCAATAAAAATGCACTTCGGTGAAATTTTTCGTGACATTTTTCTCATGATCGTGCGCAGAATTATTCGATGACGACCTATTAAAATTTTTGTTATTCTTCCGACAGAATAGCCATGTAACTGTTGCTGCGGGGTATCTTAATCTATTATTAGCATCCTATCATGACTGTCCTGGTGATGCTTATCGTTAAATTTATCATTTGCACGTTACTTTTGTTCCGCATGGCGTATGCCCGGTCGTATTCGACTCCTTTTATAAATCAGAGCGACAACTTGGAGTTATACGAAAATTTAGAAAAGATTTACAGTGAGTTAGATGTCCATTTGCTCCAACCTTTGCTGGATGTGATTGACCTCTTTAACGATGGAAAATTACAAAATGATGATCTAAAGTCAAAGAGCAGCAGCAGTGAGACGAATATCAGTGAGACGAATATCAGTGAGACGAATATCAGTGAGACGAATATCAGTGAGACGAATATCAGTGAGACGAATACCAGTGAGACGAATATCAGTGAGACGAATATCAGTGAGACAAACATCAGTGATGAGAACATCAGTGAGAGGAACATCAGTCAACCACACATTGTATTTATTTTAGTCGATGATCTTGGTGAGGAAGAATTTTCTTTTGCTTGTTATAAGATTTTTAATTCGATGCTTTTACGAGCAAATCCAACTTGAATTTTTAAAATATAGTTTGTAGTAAAGTAAATAACGTAAATCTTTGCACAAAGTTTTGAATCAAATGGAGAGAAAATGAACACCTGTAATATGTACAGTTGAATATGAGCCATGTCCTGTATTTGAAATAAAATGTTCATATGTTTCTGCAAATATCAATATTTCGTAAAAAACAAATTGCACACGAGGGCTATACTGTCGTTCAGGTGTTGTACTATCGTTACACGCTCAAGTCAACATATATTGTCTAAAGTACACGTAGCGTCCGATATCTTGTCTGTGATTGGTGGGTTTAGCTTAAAAAACCGTCCGTCTACGTAGCGTCTAAGGTACACGTAGCGGCGTATTTCTCGTCTGTGATTGGTGGGTTAGCTTGGAAATCCGTCCGTCCACGTATAGCGTCCAAAGTACACGTACTTTAGAAGCCGATTTATCGAAAATCCGTAAGAACTCATATCTAATTTTGATAATACGGCCTCTGATTTCTTTGTTCATGTCATCAGGTTACAATGACGTGTCGTGGCACAACGAAGCTGTCTACATGCCCAATATCCAGCGGCTTGCAGAGACCGGCATCATCCTGGATGGTTCGTACACGCAGCCTGTGTGTACACCCACCAGAGCAGCGCTTCTCACAGGGAGGTATCCTCACACCATTGGCAGACAGGTCAGATTTGGCAGAAGAACCTAGCGATTACGTATTACGTACGTATACAGGTATTCGTATTCTAGAGTTAGCTGAAATAGGAATCCCAGTATGATAGAACAGATAAGATTTGACAGAAAACCTCACGATTGCGTGGGTATAGAGGGATATATGTACCAGGTATATGATGAAACGGGTCGGATTTGACTGGAAATGCCAAACTATTTCTTGGGTATAGAGTGATATACGTACCAGGTATATACATGATAAGATAGGTCTGACAGCAAAAACCCAACGAATGCTTGAATGTATAGGAATACATATACCAGGTACATGATAAGACAGGCCGGACAGGAAAATCCAATGAATGCTTTGACTTCCGCAGTAATTCCTGCAAATAATCACATGATTATCGTCGGTTCACCTCGATAAGCTACCGAATCTCCATATATTGGACACCGCTCATCCTGCACAACATAAGCTTAGTTTATCATGAGTAGTAAATACCAATTATAACCACGAGCAGTTATAAACACTTTGAGTTTCTTTACTCAAACATGAGTTTAGCATAAATGTTGATGATATCCTCTCTACTGTAGGGCGGAGCTCTAGAGTCGTTGCAGCCTACAGGCTTGGACTTAACTCTGCCGCTGCTGCCGACGACGCTGAGAGAAGCTGGGTACTCCACACACATGGTGGGCAAGTGAGTCGAACTTTTATCTATATCACATTTTATTCCATTCATGTTTGATCATCGTTAAACAGAAAATATCATCAATATTGATATGAGATACTTTGTAATTAAACTTGTGTTGCAAGGGCTAGGTTGCGGCATCGCCAGTACATGAATAAATGTGTTGGAAATCGAATTTCTAATGATACAAAAACCTGACAACACCCAATGCAGGGCCCAATGCAAGTATCTAATTGTTACTCTTTTCGTCAAAACCATGGTTGAATTTAATTCGTGAAAATTTTTTTTCTCTCCCTACTCATTATTTTATCTCAAACTAATATCTTTTTAATTTATATATTTTCCCTGTTACCATACGCTGAGTTGCAGATGGCATTTGGGCTTCTGCAACGAGTCGTACACTCCAACCCATCGTGGCTTTGACACTTTCTATGGCTTCTATGGCTCAGGCCAAAACTATTACACTCGCTACACTAATAATCAATACCACTTCAACGGAAGTGAGTATTTCTGCCTGTTATTTATTGTGATTTACAATATTATTCATGTATTAATTTTTTAATTTGGTATAGCTCTGAGCTTACTATAGTTGAGGAACTAATTTTAAAATTCGCAATCATTGAAACAAATCGAATTGTTCGCAGAGCAGCAACAAGTTCAAGGCTACGACAGACGGAAACAGATGGATGTACATAGAGGTGCTACCGGCGTGTACTCAACAGTAAGTGCTTGCGCTGTACATAGAGGTGCCAGTAGCGTGTACTCAACAGTAAGTGCTTGCGCTGTACATCGAGGTGCCAGCTGCCAGCAGCGTGTACTCAACAGTAAGTGCTTGCGCTGTACATCGAGGAGCGAGTAGCATGTACTCAACAGTAAGTGCTTGCGCTGTACATCGAGGAGCGAGTAGCGTGTACTCAACAGTAAGTGCTTGCGCTGTACATAGAGGTGCCAGCAGCGTGTACTCAACAGTAAGTGATGGCGCTGTACATCGAGGTGCCAGTAGCGTGTACTCAACAGTAAGTGCTTGCGGTCGTTGCGCTGGTGGTCGCTTTTTATAATTAGGATGTATTTTAAATTATATTGTACAAAAGCAATTGCAACGTTAATAAACGATGGTTTGATTTTGTTTGGAATTCTAGTTCGCTTACAATTGCGGGACTCATTTTAAAAATAAGGACTAATCGCTCAGAACAGTGGATATCTAGTGCTTCTGGCCTCTAACGTACGTATATTATGAAATACTCATGAATATATAACTTATGCAATGAATAGGAAAAAATTTCACAATTTCGTTGTACAACTGTGTCCTGTGTTAATACGAATATCTGGGATAAAGTGCAAGACAATCTTGCGACCATGCATGGTTAAATAATACTGAATACGCCCTATTTTTTAAGCTCTACTTTTGAATCATTCACTTTTTAATCAAATCAACGGTCTTCCCTGTTCAAAGCCTCGGCCTTCAGATTCGTGTGTTAGAGGTTTTCTTCTTCTTCGCACAAGTTTAATCAGTGTACAGAGCAATATGCCGTTAATACTTGTTCCTTGCAGTGGTGTTATCAAAATAAAACAATATTGTGTTAATGCTTTTTTCATGTAGCAGTGTTATATATACAGAACAATACTGTGCTGACGAGTATATTCGACGTTTTTCTCGCAGTTTGAATTTGCCGAAGAAGCAGCGTCACTCATCCGCTCCCATGACCCTCAGAAACCAATGTTCCTCTTGCTCGCTACGCAAGCTGTTCATGGTCCCACTCAAGTCCCAGACACCTATAGTGACATGTATCCAATGGTAGCTGACAAACGACGCAAGAAGTTCTTGGGTGAGTAATGGGAGTTTTTCAGGTGATGGTACTGTTCAGGTGATGGTACTCAGTGGGGGGGGTGAGCCTAAAGTTATTTTTTGGGTGCAAACTGGCAGTTGCTATTTGTAAAGTACTGATAAATGGAAATTACATAAATCACAGATAATTGCATTGAATTTAAATTCAGTCTCATAGAAGGATATTCTTGGAACATGAATGCAGTAGTTGTAAGCACAATAGTAGTAGTTCTGTAGGGTGGCCCAGCGGTTACAGTTCAGAGTACCAAGATTGGCGCAGAGAGGCGCGGGTTTGATCCCAGCTCTGTGCGCCAGTTTATGGTCAGAATCGGCAAGAAGGCCCGGCGGTTAAGCACAGCAGAAGTGTAGCAGTGAGTTGTGAGTTCGAAACCGCAAAATGCTGTGAATGTTCTGCGATGTTAAGAATCGGCGACAGGCCTACGGCCTAATAAACGCTGAAACCGCTATTATTATTAATACTATCCTGCTTCTGACAGGCATGGTGTCCGCACTCGATGATGCTGTTGCGTACGTCGTTGATGCTCTCAAAGATTCTGAACTGTACAATAACACCATCATTGTTTTTACTACAGACGTACGTATGAGCTTTTTTCGGTTTTAATTTTATCTTGAAGATATATGATAATACAGTACGTAAACGTAATACAGTTTCAGTTTGAGTATTAATGTAAAATACATGCATACGTAACTACAGTAACTCGCCTTGAATTGAGTTGAAATAATGAATGAATAATCGAGGTTGAAACTATAAAATCCATATAAACCGAACCTGAAAATCGTAATTTTATTTACTTCGTAACCTATTTAAAGCAGCTATATAGGAGCCTTCTATATCTAAAATCATTTACGTGTCTAATTATAATAATTTATATTTTTCATTATAATCATTTATGTGTCTCATTATAATCACTTATGTGTCACATTATAATAATTTTTGTGTCTCATTATTATCGTTTATGTGTCTCATTATAATCATTTATGTGTCTCATTATAATCATTTATGTGTCACATTATAATAATTTATGTATCTCATCATAATCATTTATGTTTCTCATTAAAACCGTGTATACCGACTAACCTACAGTCCTACACTATTATCTACATTCATCTTTATCTACAATCTACTAATCTATACACTATTAAATGGATTTATATATAAATTACGTTATTTTGTGCGACAGAACGGAGGGTCACCGAAGGCCGGCGGGAGCAACTGGCCGCTGCGGGGCTACAAGCACACGCTGTACGAGGGCGGTGTTAGGGGAGCAGCTTTTGTGCACTCCCCATTGCTGAAGCAGCGTGGCATAATCAATAACAGGTGATTAATTGCTCATTTTCGTGTCTTAATAATAACAAATCAAGTAAATACGCAAATTAAAAGTAAATTCATACTAGTTATGTTTCTGTGCCCGGCCGGTAATTTTCGCCTATCTTAAATGTGAAAGAACTCGACACCTAACCCTTTCGCGATCTGTCGTGAATGCATAAATCAACGTACAGAGATTGTTTTGGTACCGTTGGATAGGTCAGAATGTCAGCTTTAAGATGAAACTGAAAACAGAAAAAGCCAAAATGTTCGATTTTACCACCAGACGCTCCCCATAAAGTGCACTTGACTCATTAGCATTGCTATTCTTTACCAACCAAATCAAACAAACAATAACAATTTAAACTTAGATTGAAATACAAATTTTTTAAAAGCCTTGCTAATCTTTAGCAATTTAAAAAACAATACAAATTTAAATAGCAATAGCAATTTTTGAACATTATTGCTATTCCTTACAAATTTAAAACAAACTAACATTCTTTTATGTGAACATTCTTACGCAGGCTCTTCCACGTGGTGGACTGGTACCCCACGCTAGCGGGGGTTGCCAACGCGACTACTCCACCAGACCTGGATGGTGTGGACCAGTGGGGGAGCTTGAACCTACTCGCTCCACCGCCCCGGAATAATACCATCACCATCACTAAAATTGAACCATACATAAGAGCCAGTGTTCGGTCAGTCATATTTTCATTCTATTACAAGCAGAATTATTTTTCCTTTTATTTGTACTGATATATACGTAGATATAGTTTATGTGATTCAGTTTGGGTTCTAGATATTTTGAATCAGTTCGCCTCCAGCACACTTGTTATGATAATTGATATTTTGTATGCCATTTCCTCCGTCTTTGGGCTTACATGTATTTGACTACAAATTTATATATCTAATGACTGGTTACTCATGAAATTGAATAATTCATTTTCATCTCATTTTATTATAATATATTCAATGCTTTACACGGAATTTCTCCGAGCTTTAGTTTCTTCGTTGGTTTGGGTTCATTTGAAACCACGACCAATTATTTAATTAATTGCGTATGAAGGTCCCTGTGTTATTCCTAGAGTTTTTTTCACTGTTCTACGAATGCACAAGTAATTGTCCCATAGCTTCTCAGAATACTACAAAAGTCAAAATTAAATTAAAAAATATAAATTAAGAAATTAACGAGAACCGAACAATTGTGAATGTTGAAAGACCTTCAAGATAATTAACTAATTATTGAGCACATATGGGAAACATTATGTACAGCCCGACGCAAAAGGTTAGCCCCACCCCTTTAAAACATCATAACACATCTAGTTTTGCGAGTTTTATTGTGCAAATTGTGGCAAACGAATCGTCTTGGTCTCAGTAATAAAAATACAAAAGACTGTAGTGAAAATGTAATTAGTAACGGAGAAAATGAAAAACACATGTTTTTACACCGACGCAAAAGGTTAGCCCCACTTTGCACACTTTGACATTTTAGGCAAAACAAAACATACGTCAGCTGCAAAACTAAAGTAAGTGGGGCTAACCTTTTGCGTCGGTGCAAAAACACGGACCGCTTGATTTTTCCGCCAGTAATTAACTTTTTCACCAAATTTTACCTGCTATAGATTGCAGAGCGCAAGACAAATCGTTTGCTACCATTTGCACGTTAAAACTGGCAAAACTCGATGTGTTATGATGTTGTAAAGGGGTGGGGCTAACCTTTTGCGTCGGGCTGTAGGACGATCAAGATAACCGAAATTATTGTTGATAGTAGACGGAATAAAGATTTTAGGACGATAATGATAATTGAAATTATTTTTGAATGTAGACGTCAAAAAGTATTTTGAGACGATCAAGATAACCGAACTTATTGTTGAGTGTAGATGGAATAATTTGAGTTAGGACGGCATAAATAAAGTGTTTTAAGACTATCAAGATAACCGAAGTAAATGTTTGGTGCAGATCAGGCAACCTGAAACTTTTGGTGGGTGAGTTGTCGTGCCACAAGTCCGTGCCCTCGTCAGAAGACGTGGACTTACTTCGTCCCTTTCACCACGTCTTGGACTTGACACGGCGGCTCCTAGAGAGCGACGAAGGCGGTGACGTGTGGTCTTCACTGCAGGCGCGGCACCTCGTCTCGTGCGGAGGTTTGACCGACCGCTGTTTATTTATCGCGGAACTGGTTGATGTTGACTTTAACCTGAAATGACATTTATTGGTAAATGGCAGAATAACATACAATGTTGAGACGAACTGCCTTCGCCCATGTCAGGTCGGTGGTCAGGCAACTGCACTCGGTGGCGAAAGAACTTCACATCGCCCAGCGCGGAATGGCTCGAACTCTTACCTGGTAAATAAAATTATTGTTAATGGTAAGGGATGAATTTGTGCAAAACAGGAAAAGATTTGCTTTAACCAATGATAGGATGCATTAATATTCATCACAGGCTACCTGATGGTTAGAATAACAACAAATGTTTAGAATCGATGGTTCATTCAATCGCGCAGGTTAAAATAAAATATGCAGAGTCTTTAGTGATTTTTAAGGAAGCAAATAGTTACTAGCTTCCTAAATTCAAATTCGTGCGCGAATTCTTTACGGTCATTGCAATAATGTCTTGAGGATGCTTTAAACTTCGAATTTAGGCCATATTATTCCTTTTTGCTTGTGTAAAATTGATGGTATTTGTGTTTCGTGGATATACTTAACTAAGGAATTAAATCTTTTAATTTTTAATGCAACAGTGAGAATTTTGTTCTTAAATGCAAAAAAATCATTCAAGGCTCAGTGCTTCGCTTAAATAATCTGATTCTATCATTTTTTCGATCAATTAGTTTACTCTCATATGTTTACTTCTTTAGTTATATGTATATGACTCGTGAAACTGTGATTTCAGCTAAAGATCTTAATGCTATTTTGTGTAATGCAAACTGACCTTATTCTTCTCCAGAGGCCGACACCACCTATGAAGGTACTGACGAAGAATACAACGATGAGAGTGTCCTGGAAGGCCTCGGCTCGGAGTACAACTTTTTCAAGCACGAGATCGTCCACAAAAAGTGCGGCGGGAAGGACAGCTGGCAGAAATCAGGACATGCTGATGAAGATGTAAAAAATCTTACCGGCGTTGATGAACTCATGCCCATAAGTCAAGAGGTCCAGCTTTATGACATAGCTGGTGAGCAAAACAGCTGGTAGTTGTTGTTAGGTTCTAAATTTAATGTGACTTTGAAAGTGTTCAATCGAATTGACTTGCAATATTATATTTTCATTACCTAAGCCTATTCGAAACAATTCAGAAATTCAATCTATCTTCCAATTAGACAAACGCTGCTATATTTCACTTAGTTTTCGTCATTGGTGTTTACCATGAAAAAACTATTATAATTATTACAATCACGATTTTTCACATTTAACTTAGTTCTAATTTTTTCGAGAATTTTCAAACATTATAAGCTATCGTTTGCAATGAACCTGTTGTTGCCTGCAACTTGTTTTTGCGTTCTGCATGTGGCGCTCAGCGGACCCTACGGAGGTTCATAACCTGGCTTCGTTAGATCCTGACGCAGTGAAAAGCCTGATGGCCTTCTTAACAGAGGAGCTGAGCCGCGTCGTGCCGGCCGATGAACCTCCACCAGACATTGCTGGGCTCCCGGACAAATTCGGTGGAGTCTGGAGTCCTGGGTGGTGTTGATAGATCGTTGTGTCTGGAGTTCTGGGTGGTGTTGATCGATCGTTGTGTCTGGATCCCTGGGTGGTGTTGATAGATCGTTGTGATCCTGGGTGGTGTTGACAGATCGATGTGTCTGGAGTCCTGGGTGGTGTTGACAGATCGTTGCGTCTGGAGTCCTGGGTGGTGTTGATAGATCGTTGTGCCTTGAGTCCTGGGTGGTGTTGATAGATCGTTGTGTCTGGATTCCTGGGTGGTGTTGACAGATCGATGTGTCTGGAGTCCTGGGTGGTGTTGATAGATCGTTGTGTCGGGAGTCCTGGGTGGTGTTGATAGAGTTGATAGATCGTTGTGTCTGGAGTCCTGGGTGGTATGACATATGGAATAATATCGATTTCTTGCCGCTATCAGTTACTCAATGTGCTTATATTATCTCAAATTAAATATGAATATGACATGGTTTATTGACGCTACTCGATTGTGGGCCTGGATCGAGTGTTCAGATTATGTGTTTGGAATGCAGTGCATGCAAAAACGCAGAACTAATTTTCAAGCTGCGAAAAAAGGTTTCAGTACGCTTTAATTACCTGGTGAAAATGATATGGATTTTTTACCTATACATAAATAAAGTTATACTGTCACTAATTTTTTGAAAAATCCTGTTGATTCGCGAATGCTACGTTATTAAACGTTGCATATTTTATTTTTACGTTACAATATTAGCTCGTTATTCTGCCAAAATGTGCGCGTGGGAAAACTTTTATTGCTACTTGCTGCTCGGTGGAATGTTGTTCATATTTTCATTTGAAGAATGGTGATGAATTCATACAAAAGTAATTAGGAGAAGCAGAGCTTTAACTGAAGAATAAACGGCTGCCATACCTAAATATGTCTACTTATGTGCAAAAAACGTTGTTTGCTGCATATTTTGTTATGTCACGCATTTGCAAAATTGAATTGGCGAGAGTTTGCCATTGTCGTTTATTGTAACGTTAGATTGTGGCTAAGTGTTTACACATGTCCATATGCGAGACTTTCCCATCCTTTTAGATATTATATTTGTTATATAATGTGCAGGCTGATAACTTTCATGTATTCATTTTTGCCGAAACTTTCCTTCTCAATTGTGTTTTTTTTGATAATGAAATTATTTCATTCATCATCTTTGAACAGGGATAGTTATTTTCCTGAAAGAAAATCGATCATTTGTCTGACATTTGTGTTTACTCATCAGTTATATATAATGGGATATTAACATTTTTTTGTGATACCTTGCTCGCAAATCTCTCCGCGGACCAAAATACTGCATACATTTTCTCAATATAATTTACCTTCTTGATTTCACAATTGATAATGCATGTTGTGATTTAATCAAAAACTATTTAGTGAAAAATTGAAAATTTTTCGCTATTTTATTTATAAAATTTTGACTACATATGTTAATTCTCACCAAGAGAACGTTGAAAAATCTAGAGATTACATTTGTTATTAATGATGCTATAGCAGCTTGGCCTTATATAGCCTCTACTGCATACTAAATTATTACCTATAATGAGAGCATGAGGGCAATAGTTTTTTTGAGTTCACGTAATCTCAGCTCTATCATCACGATAAACATACGAGTGTTCAGGGCTATCAGACGCACATTCGTCCTGCTATACAAAGACTCTAGTGATTGTAGCGGCATTAGGATCAGACGTGGGTTCTTGGTACTGAGCGCTAACATATTTTTGTGCCGCTACATATTTTAAAGTAATGAACACATGTTAAATTCGATGCTGTGTTATTAGCGAGCTTAGAACTGTATAAAAATATTTCGATTGAAAGTTAATGTGATACAACTTTATTTCATATTGATTGAAATGGTAGGTTCGAATGTCGGCAACCACGAAGAGTAGAAATTCAGACTTGACGTGTGTAGTTATAGTATATGGGACGTGTAGTTTAATAAACAAATAGTGATCAAAGCACCGCTGCTCAAAATTGGTTGGAATTATTATTTTTTGTGATTACAGGATTTTTGTGATAGTTGTGGTTAGAACAGAGCTTAGCATGAAGTTATTTCAACACAATGGACTTCACTTGTTCTGTGTACAACTTCTCATTACACTTGCTTCGTTGAACCAAGTGAGTATTCAAATCGCTGATAAAACTTAACAAGCTAATGTTAAGTATAATTGCTTATACAGTTGGCTATTTTCTCTTGCACTCATTCTTGGCTTTCAAAAAAATTTCAACTTCGAAATATATTTTTAATCGAAATTAGTCCACTTATTGTACATTTATCACATTCTTGCTGGGTTATTTGCACCTATTTCGATGTTGCTTGCGTGCCGTATATTTCTTAAGTATTTTATGAAAAGGATAAATAATATTATTCAGGTAAGTGGCTACGACACGTCTTTTAAATTCAGAAACAGCATAATTTTACGTCCGAACTTCAGGTGTTTGGTCGAAGTTTCACGGTGGACTACGACCAGAATTGCTTCTCGAAAGATGGAGAGTGCGTGCAGCTCGTGTCAGGCTCCATCCATTACTTCAGAGTCCATCCATCCGACTGGACGGACCGGCTCCAGAAACTCCGGTTTGCCGGATTTAATGCTCTCGAAACGTGAGAAATATAATATTTTATATTATTCGGGTCAGACCGAAGTAAAGTGTCTTTTTAATACGTATATGAACTTGTAATCGTGACGTACATTATTATTTATGAATTAAATCTAATAATTGTCGAAATATTATTTAATAAGTAGGCAATGGAATAACTTGATAGCAATTGAACTCAAAACTTGAAAAAAGATTAATGGCATAAATTGACCATAATTTCTTCTTCTGGCAGAGTGGGTAAACAACTGTCCGCAATTTATCTGTTATACACTGAAAATTGCGGCATTGTTTGTTGCTACAGAATTTTCTTTGTTGCGGAAGGTACATTGAATGGGCGAGTCACGAGCCCGAGAAAGGGACGTACGAATTCTCAGGCATGTACAACTTCACCGACTTCGTCCTGAAGGCTCAGCAAGAAGGACTGATGGTCATCATGCGTACCGGACCGTTCATCGATGCTGAGAGAGACATGGTCCGTATGCATCAGGAGTTCAGATTTACGTAGTGGAAAAATAATGTTCACAACCAGTTACTCAATATACCTTTCGACTGTATATTGAACACAATCCTAAAGGTTTAAGGATATTAACACCAGTCAACGTATTGCTATATTACAGAAGTTTGATAGATTATTTTGTTCAAAGGGAGGCTTGCCTTACTGGCTTCTGGCTGAGAACCCCGACATGAAACTTCGCACCAGCGATCCATGTGAGTGTTGAACGTCTGAGAACGAGCAAAAATTCGACGAATAGTACTTGAAATGTTTTATTAACTTAACTGTAATTAAAAAAATATGGTTCTCAGTAGCTGATAAAATTCAGTGTAACACATTTGTACAATTCTAAGCGGCTGCGTGAAAAAAATTGCACGTTTGATTTCTTGGCACTACTTATGAACGTGTTTGACCGGCTACAATCCTTTATTTTAATTCGGAATATATACGAAGATATTCATTTTGGGATGTGGACTAGAAATTTATTCCGTATTTTTTCTGCAGCCTATCTATCACTCGTGGACAATTGGTTCGCAAATCATCTTCTGCCCAAGCTCAGGCCGCTACTGTACTCTGAAGGCGGCCCCATTATCATGGTTCAGGTAATTCCAGAGACTTGTAGGTAGTCTCAGGTAATCTCACGTGAGAATTGTCTCGTAAATAGTCTCAGTTAGTCGTCCGTGAGACGCGCGGATAGTCTCGTGTAGTCTTCCGTTTGTCTTGTAGTAGTCTCAGGTTGTCTTCCGTAATACGTATTTACAGGTAGTCTGGATTAGTCTTCCCTGAGACTTGTGGGTAACCTCAGGTTGTTTTCTGTGAGAAATGAATGAAACTAGTCTCACTTGTAAATAATGGTGAAAAAATTAAAACAGTTACTACACGGCATTGCGACAGCCGTTTAGATCTATCCCTGCATCTTGTCATAAAACCTATACCGGCGGTCGTCGTGCATAAATATAATAAATAATCTTTACTGAACACGTACAACATTAAGAATCTTACTGAATTATTTATATCAGAACAAGATATGTGTATCTAAATATACATCTTCCCGACCTTGTATTTCAGGTCGAGAATGAGTACGGCAGCTATGGCTGTGACTACGAATATACTGCGCACCTTCGGGAGCTTCTGAAGAACCATTTAGGCGACCAGGTCCTTCTCTACACCACTGACGGCGGCAGCACCAGCTACCTCAAGTGCGGCAAGGTGCAAGAAGTTTACGCTACCGTTGATTTTGGGACCGGTCAGTAGAATGCTTCATTGCGTCCCAATCTAAATAATATTACAGAATATTTATTTTCGTACAAAATTATTTATGGTCAAAACACGTTATACACGTTTTCTCAATAAGTAATAGTGCCAATTTTTTATTAAATAATTAATAAAATAATTACCATTAAATATTTTTACTTATGAATAAATAACTTTAAGTTAACACTTAGAGTAGAACTTTAACTAAGTGTAATCTCATTCTTTCCTCGCTCAAATCAAGCTGAACAAATTGAACAGATTTATCGAATTTCATGTCTTGCCTGGTCTGTGTCCAACACTCGCCTCCAAAAAGTTGTTTACATTTCATAGGAACTAACCTGACGGAGGCGTTCAGAGCGCAGCGTCTGTTTGAGCCCAGAGGTCCCCTGATGAACTCTGAGTTCTACCCAGGATGGCTCGACCACTGGGGCTCTCCCCACAGCACCGTGCCTGCCAAGGTGATGTCGCATATCTTGCCTGCTGAAGTTATTTTTTTTGCGGGCGGATATATCGAAAATTTTGTGTTCAAAATTAAAAATTCTTGAATTGGTTAATTTTGTTACTTATTGCAAACATTATTTGTTGTTTGTGTGCAAAATACGTGATCTTTTTGTGAAGTAAAAATGAAATTGTGGATGAAAATCGGGCGAATTTACTATGCAAATAAGTTGCATTTTTATACCTGCTAGGATGACGCAAGGTTGGATTGTTGCAAGATATAATTGCCATCGGATTCGTATTTACTTGTTAAATCTCATTTGATAAATTAATAAAATATGTGATTGTTACATCAAGAGGTATAAAATATGCGCTGATATTTATGATGCTACTCGTACAGTGAAGAAGGTATGAAGGTAATTAGAATAGAATAGAATAGAAGTGTCGGCGTTGAAGAGCCCATGGCCTGTTGCCGATTCTTGAACTTTTCGTGACTTGATTCACAAGGGATCCGGCCTTTGGAACCCGATCTTTCCATAACTGACGATTGATTGAGATAGCTGCTGGGACTTATTGCCTGCTCCGTAATTTGCTAGGCATTTTAAGACTGAACATACTGTATGCTCCTGCATAGCTTCGTCTAGTCTGTTTTTGAAGATGTTCATACTCGGAGCTTCAACGATGCTATCAGGGAGGCTGTTCCACATGTCGGTGACTCGGGAATTGAGTTAACAGTTGATCGCAATGTCTCATTTGATGAAGTGATCAAAACGAAATAGGCGGAGATACGACGAGTCTTCGAAACGTTTAGAGCTTTTTAGAGTCTAAATAAAAACTCATAATTTTTTAATTTATCATACAGTAATCATTCAGCCATCGTCGGCCATCGGGTTACTGTTACATTATTTGACAACTTTTCTAATTTATGTTCAACTTCTGCGAGACGATGTCGGTAAAAATGAAATATTATTCATATTTTCAAGTACTCGGACCAAGCAAAGTTTCATAATAATGTTGAAACACATAATAACATTTTTACTTCTCTATGAAGGGAAAAGCGCAGCTCACTAGAAATCATGATAAAATGTACATTTTGCGCGACATTCCGCAGAACAAAATGTTTCTGCTTTTCGGCTATGATTGAAATGTAATGTTTAGAACTTTGTGTAACTTTGAATTTGTTTTGTCTCACTCACGTAATTAATTTATTTTGAAAGAGACATATTATCAATATTTTGTTTGTCTAACTGTACGGAATGTACGGTCCCACAGTCGGTGTCCGACTTCATGGACAGTATTCTTGCGCTGGGAGCTTCGCTGAATGTTTACGTCTTCCATGGAGGCACCAGCTTTGGTCTCACGGCAGGTGAGGAGAACTTTGTCGAGCTAATTAGTTAATTATGTGTAGTAAATTAGCTTAATCTTGATAATTGTATGGCTGTTTCAGCGTTGATTAGGCCGTTTGACCTGTTGCCGAGTCTCAACATTGCGGAACATTCATCGCATAATCCTGGTACTCTAAACCCTGCATTATTATCTTGTTGTCATGTCATTTATTTGTACTAAATATTCTTTATTGAGGAATTTCTTTATTTGTTACGAAGCAAATATACACATATGTTCGATTTTTTTGTATTTGATTTCGTTTATGAATTGTAATTTTTTCATGGTTATTAGTTCACTTTTTTTTATCTAAAAACCACATCGTTTGAAAATGTTCCAGCGTTGAAAACAATTTAAGGAGTTTATCAAAATTACCGTAATAGTTTGATTTGTGAGCTGAAGAGTGAATTTATACATTGATTGCAAATCGATTATGGATAATTGATTGATTGGTACCATAGTTAAATGATGCATGGGCAGAAACTTTATAATGTCGCAGGCTACACCATCTAGCTCTGATACACCCTTTAGATCCAAACTGGGTCAGAATGACCCACACGAGGGCAAAAAACTACATCACTATATCGAAAGCCTCAATAAGTCGCAGGCTGCACTCTTTAGCGCTGATATACCCATTAGATTCCAACTTGGCCAGAATGACCCACACGAGGGCAAACACTTCATCACTATTCGGAAAAAGTCTCAATAATTTCCCTGAATGCAGGCTCGAACTTGGGTGACGTGTTCCAGGCGTGCCCCACGTCGTACGACTACGACGCGCCTCTCAGCGAGGCGGGCGACATGACGGAAAAATACGAGCGAATTCGGGCCGTCGTGGCCAAGGTTTGCGACACAATTTATTTAAGACCTGAATAAAAAATTACTCGTACTTCAAACTAAAATTTGTTGTTCGATTTTTCATATATGTTTAGTATAATATAGTAGTATAGCATCTTCGGCGCTGAAGAATAGGCCTGGTAAGGGCGCTGCTTCTTGTACTTTTCGTGACTTGTCCACCGATATGAAAAAAGTAGATCAGTACTCACTGCAGTGAGTGACAGAGAGCGTATTTTCTCGACGCCGAAAACGTGAAGTCACGGATAGACGGACGGACGGTCATGACGAGCACAATAGCGCCTTTTTCCATAAATGTGAAAATGCGTTAAAAACGGATCTTTTGACCAGATTCTTCCAACTGACGGAGGCTTGAACTTGTTACTGGACTTTTATTACTTCCGTAGGGTGATAGGCATTTCAAGACTGAACATATGCCTCTAGCATTGTCTAGTCTGTTCTTGAACGCGTTCATACTCGCAGCATCAACGATGTCATCAGTGAGGCTGTTCCACATGTCGATATGTCTTGTTTCATATTCTAGTAATCCTTCTGGCACCTCGTGCAAACCATGAGTATACATGTATACTTTAATGAGGTCACCATGCAGACGTCGGTAAAAGAGGCTTGAAAGCTTTATGTTCTTTAATAATTCTTCGAAAGGTTTGCCCTTCAAGCCTGGACTTCTTCTTGTTGCACGTCCTTGTACACTCTATACAAAATTTTTGTCCTTATCAAGTTTCGGTGACCACACGGCGCTTCCAACCTCTAGGTTGGGCGCACGACAGAGACAAACAACAGCTTTATCGCCCCTGCATCTAGGAACTCATAAGAGCGTCTGATCATTTTAAGAAGTTTATTGAATTGATTAACTTGCTTTTCAATATGCCTCGAAAATTTCAGCTCCTTGTCGACATAAACTCCCAAAACTTCTTCCACGCTAGACTTTTTAATCATTACTCTCACGTTGCAACCATGTCTTCTCGTACTTGCTGTTCATTGTTCTTCCCGAAATGAAGTAGGGTAACATGGGGCAGCGAGCCCACTGCGGGTCATGGGCCCATAGCGGGTTTCTCGCTAAGTATGGCAGATATTGGCCCGTGTTCTCTACCGCCGGTCGGCAGTTTCACTGGGATGAAGTGTACGGATTTACGTTTTGCTAAGTGTTTGCGTTATTAAGTTCTTTGCGAATAACTGTTTTAGTCCAGATAAAAATTTTTTTGCCGCTAAATAAAGTTTTTTTCCATTACTATAGTCAATGGGCCCATTTTGACACTTTTTACAAAATGGGGTTTCATTAAAAATTGAATAACTCTATAGGCGTCTAATTCACATAATACATTCCTCATTAGTTGCACCTTTAAACAAAACAAAAAACCATCTCGTATCAATTAAAATTTCATCAAAAATTTAGTTTGAAAAAAGTGGGGGGCGCGCTGCCCCACGTTACCCTACTTTATACTTGTCAGCGTTAAAACGCAGCTGCCACGTATCAGCCCAGTCAACTAAACTATCAAGATCATCTTACAGTGCAGTTTATTGACTATACTAAACTGATGAACGCTTTTGTCGTCTGCATACATGGAGCACACGCTTATCACTACTTCTGACAGATCGTTTGTAAAAGCAACGATCAGAACAGGCCCAAGAACGCTTCCTTGAGGCATGCCACTGCGCACTGTTAGTCTGTTGCCCAGTCGGATACGGTTCCGTTAAAACTGACACTGACAAGTTGTCGTCTACCTACTATACAATCTCTGATTCATTGGAGAGCATTTCTCTCTATTCCCAAAGACTCAACATTACAGTACAGTCGCTCATACAGAACACAGTCAAATGCTTAGGCAAAATCGAGGTACACTGCATATACACAGGTATACTGTCTCCCTTTCGTCAACAGGCGAGTCCAATTGCTCAACATAGACGAGAGGTTAGTGGTGCAGGATTTACTGGCAATAAAGTCATGCTGGCAGACTGAGGAGTTGGTGACAGTCAAGTGATCGATAATCCTATCCCTCACAACAGATTCCATTACTTTGCATACAACACTTGTCAGACGGACAGGGCGATTGTTGCCCGGGCAGCTCTTGTCACATTTTTTCAACAATGGTGTCACTTGAGCTTCTTTGCAATCGGCTGTTTTTTAAATACTGGCAAAGGGCCGGCAAGGACGGTTGCTGATTCTTTGAGCAATCTAGGGTAGAAGCCGTCTGGTCCACATGACTTGTTGGGATTCAGAGCGACCAGGCGCTTGAGAACCTCTTCTTCGAGTATTTCATGGAAATGGTTAATTTTAATCACTAAAATTTATTAAGCTGTTAGTCGGCCAATTAGATGACAGCTTATTGAACAATTTATTCATATTTTAAAATTAGGACATTATTATTTTTTTGTATTATTCATCTATCATTACACGATTATTATTAATTTTATTACATTACATTAATATTTATTTGCGGGATTCTCTTTATCTAATAATTTCATACCCATTGATCTTACTTTACTTTATGCTACTCTGTATCCTGTTTCGCAGTACCTCTCACTACCCTCCATGACTCCCCCCACCAACTCGACGAAGGCCGCGTACGGTGAAGTGTTGTTAAGCCCTCATACCAGCCTCTTCAGCGCCGCCCAAACTCTGCCCTCTGTGCCATCAGACTCGCCAAAAACATTTGAATCTCTTGCTCTCTTCAACGGAGTCGTCATCTACGAAACTGTCATCGACTTCATGACGGTAAGGAAGCAATTTCTGTATAGGTCGTTTGCTACAATATTTCGACTTGAGTTTTGATGAAAAGGACAAAAGAATTTTCAGATCGATGTGAGGGCACTATTCATAGTGAAATCAATTAATATTTTCAGTTATGACGACTAATATAATTGGGTAATTTGTATAAGCTTGGGTACTATGTGCAGCTAGAAATAAAACTGCACACACAATTCATGACGAGGAATGCTTGCAAATGAACAACTAGGACACTAGGTGCATGTAATTTTATGGTCGTAATTGTTGGCCGAGCAGAGATGAAGTGATGAAGTAACTTGATTGATATTGACGCTGTATAAAGGATCATACATTCTTATTTAAGAAACAAACTATACAGAATCTTACTTCTAGGATATGAGCTGCGTTTAGAAAACTATTTGAAACTTAATATTAAACGCTCCCATTTTTATCAGACATGTTTGCATCAAAAGGCCAGTTTTTAGATCTCCGTTGTACAAGCCAAGAGAATTACAAGCATCGGTGACAGGCCATACTTGGCCTATTTTTAAGAGCCTAAATACCTACTAAAACTTCGTTCGATGCAGACGGATCCCGCGCTGTTGTCGTTCAAGGCCGTCAACGACAGAGGCTATGTGTACTTGGACGGCGTCCTGGTGGGACTCCTGGCGCGGCAGCAGGAGGCGTACCAAGTGCCTGTCTTCGCCCGTCAGGGGCAGAAACTCACAGTCGTCGTTGAGAGTCAAGGGCGCGTGTGTTATGGATCAGGAATAAACGATGCCAAGGTTACTCAACATCTAATGAATATTGAAATTACTCCGAATGCGAAGTTGTTGTAATGATCAGAATTGGTTTTAAGAAAATTGTTCTAGTTGGGGTGTCGTGTCAGGTGTCTAGACATAGAGGTTTGGCAATATTGGTCTGAGATCTAGTATCAATGAAACTGTTTCCGGATGTTGGTAATCTACGAGTATAGCCCTGTTATTGAGTATGAGTTTGAGGTATTCTTGATGTTTTCTCTTCACTGGCATACATATTACTTGCAATCACTTATCCAACGACGTTAATTTCTAACTCTTTATATGAATGGCAATACTAAAGGAGACAATTACTATTCTTTTAACGGAAGGATTAGAGTATTAAGCATTCTGTTTCTCTCCTCTTCTGCCTTCAGGGACTCATAGGTCCCGTGAAGCTGGGTTCAACAGAGCTCAGGAACTGGACTAACACAGCCGTGCCGCTAACGAACATCTCTTGGATAACACCGTCGGACGATGCTGGAAGTGCAATGATGTTTTACACCGGAACCTTCAGTATCACCGGCACGCCTTCAGACACTTTCCTGCGAGTAGACGGCTGGACTAAGGTGGGAATAGTTATTTTGTGACGAGTAAGAAAAGTCAGCATTTCTCAAACAATTTCGGAACTTCAATATCTTGTTATTAAAATTGTCGTATGTATTCACGAGTCTTTTAGGTTATATTCATGACGATTGCTGTGTACTACTTTCTCATCTATCTCATATTACCGTCTAAGATCACGATTTCGACTTTTTCCTTTTACCAATATTCTTGTACAAGTGTTTCGCTAATTATGTTGCAAATTCGTGATGGGTAATATAGATGTGAGCCATAATTCTGTATCAACTTTCCTTGAATATTTCTATAAGGGAATTGCCTGGGTGAATGACTTCTGCTTGGGACGCTATTGGCCCATTATGGGTCCCCAGCAGACACTCTACGTCCCCCATGGTATCCTCAAGACGGGGGACAACAGTATTACCATATTCGAGCTGGAGAGTGCACCGGATGGGAGTCCTGGCCACAACATTTCTGTGGCCTTCACCAATGTTCATCAAATTAATGGACCTACACCCGACCCATGAAAAATGAATAAAAGAAGGAGACGTAATTTCTTTGAAAATGATTGTATTGATTGGTTTTACTCGCACGTATGCGTAATAGAATAATAACCACACTTTCGCAGTCGAAGTTAGGATCTTAGTGTGTTAAAAAATTCTGTGCATAATAATTTCATCTTGATTGATATTTGCCTACTGTACCCTGTTTTCCAATTTCTCGTGCTTCAACGAGTATAGTGCCCTTTTCTTTTATGTTGTGGGTTATGCATTGATTAAATACGAACGTATTTTGCGGTAAAACAACCAAATAGAGTTATTTTGTATTTATAAAACCGCAAAGTGCTGATTTTGTAGTTTTCCTTAAATAAGATAGACTACAGATCGACTACTTTCGTTCATATTCCTTTCATTGGGAAAATGCGCTTGAGGGCGTAACAACCTATGAAGTTGAGAGCTAAAAGCAATAGTGCCGTGAGTACAGTGCAATTGTTACATTTGCTCAGGTCGACTCCAAGAAACGATCCAATAACATGGTTGAAACCACGATCCAATACCAGGGTTGAACTAGTACGGAACTTCTCGTGGATCAACCTTATATAGTTCAACCATGATCCAATACAAACCTGACCGTCCCCAAACTGAGATTCAAACTATTGCAAGTTTTACATAAAGCTTGTTTTAAAATTTTTTCTGTCTGATTTATATTTGACACTCAAAACTGATATTCAATTGAACAATAAATTTCGAAAATAAATACTAGTTTGGACTTTTGATGTCTACCTACTAGACTCTAAAATTCAACAACTGCGGATAAGTAAAACCTGCGAATTCAGGCCATTTTGACTTTTGCGTCGTCTCTCTGGATAAAGATTTCTTTTAGAGTAATTTCATTCGAAAAATTGCAGTTTTCTGTTATCGGTAAATAACCATTCAGTTTCTAGATAAAAGTTCAATTGCTCTTGATTATCCTACCTATTATATATGATTGAATTTTTATTATAAACGAACCAGTAAAATTTAAAATGGCGGGAGGACTGCATCTTGAGCAATATCTTGACAGTAAGTGCTAAATTAACCTTTTCACATTTATTTGGATTATGGAGTTGAATTTTTAATGTCAACTCACAAGGTCTATTTGGTAATGAAAAGATAGGCATTTTAATTCATTGTTTCCAATTAAACCAATTTAGGCTTCTATAGCTACCTAATCTATTGTGAATAGCCTAAGTGATAGAACTGCGAAGCAAATTCAGGACTACTAAAATAGAAATACTAAACTACTAAATACTCTAAGAAATAAAACATGCAAATTCAATAACCTTGGCTGTTTTTATAGCTGGGAGATTCCTGGTAAGTTATTTACATTTAACAACTCCTCTAATTGTCAATTAAAGTGCAATACCTAAGTGCTTAGGGTAAACGTGGTATATTCTGACATCGTAGGTAATTCTAACAGAACTTACGTAACGCATACGGTTTTTTTTTTATAGTTTTTCATTTCTCGATGCGTCCTTAAAGTGTCGGAATATACCGCGTTTACCCTAGTGCATAATCAAGTGGACCAGTGGTGAGAATCCAAAGTTATCAAAAATATGCTACTTTGTTTGTAGTTACAGGATTTCAGTAATATTTAGGAAATTTCCTATCATGCATTTTGCTTGCAAATTTTGAAAATTACCTATAAAATAATTGTTTATAGCCTACCCATAATTTTGGGGGGTATAATCAAACTACAATACTTTGCTGGTCTACTTGTAAGTTGTAGGACAGTAGGACCAGGATGGAATTCTAATTTCGAAGGTTCATATAGTATTTCGATCCACCAAGACCACTTTTTCTACCCAACATCGTTATTTGAGGCAAAAAATGAACTTCTTAAAGGCTTAAAATACGTACACTACCTTGCTCNTATAGACAACATCGACAAAATAGGCAAAAAACATGAAAAATGTATGTCTGGACGCGTATCAATTGGTATTTATAATCTGAAACAAATTTCCATCATTTAAATTTCAGTATGGAATGTGGATCAAGTCTAATTATTGTGAAATCGAACTTGACATGACCAAAAACTATGCCTGTGACGCCGCCATGTCAGATATGATCGTGGAAACAGGATGTGAATGTACGCCTTGGAAAAGTCGAAGTTTATCTCATACTTTTGTGTGAAATCGAAAAGTTTGTTGGTATCGTCCAATCGTGAGAATTTTTTATCTATTCTGGATGTGTTTTTTTTTTATTTTAGAACTTATTTATTGCAATAATTTGTCTACTACCCTACAGATAGACGACTAGTTAACTTGATTAGGCGTTCGCAACACGGGATTGGATTTCAAACCACGCGCGATTTCGGAAGCGCGACTGTTTCTAATGAGCTCCAGTTGATCTATTTTCATTGCAGTGGAAGGTGGTCCAACACGGTGGTAGCTGGTAGGGACTGTAGGGTTGGTTTTTTGATACGTTTTCATATATGGACATGAGAATATATTACCTATACAGAATTCCATACTGAGTAGGACTCAAAATTGAACATGAAGTTGAGTCTAAAAAAGTCTCTGCTCTGTCACTATGCTGAAATATTGAGCCTCTAATATACAATTTTTTGCTTGATTGAAAAAATTGTGGTTTGCACTTTGCAAACATGTTTCATAAAACTTTCAACTTCCACAATCCGCAGTACCAGTATGTATACTAATTATTATACTTCAATGCTCCCATGTCAAGCCCAAACAACATGCAGAACATAATACACATCAAGAACAAGTCAACCCAAAATGTTTCCCTGAAGATTGAGTACATGAGTAGTAGCAGTCATGTCAGAGCAGTCAGACTGCATCACTTGTTCAGTTGCCGCTTAAGTGAAGACAAATGTTAGTGACTATTTTTACGGTAAAATTAGAGATGTGGGCCTGTGGGGTAACACTTGCATGGGACTTTGTAAATAACAAGTTCGCTGCTTTTAAATGGCTTTTCACGGCTCATAAATGGCTTTTCATGGCTGAGATGGAATTCACGGCTTGAAGAAATGGAATCACGGCTGGCAAACCCATAAAACCACGGCTCAAAAAATCCAGTTGCAGCTTGCCAAATAGATGTATTCCATGCCTCATGATGCCTGCTTGTAAGATGATTCAATTTGTAGCCATAAATAATACCAAGCTATAAACACTAAATGGCTTGGCAACACATAACTTGATTTGACATGAAATGCATAGCTTGGCTAATAAATTGCCCATAGGTATTCTTGAGCAACACAACTGCTTGCATTTGTCCTCTTTTGTGCAAGTTAAATTTGAGTGAATAGATCTCGGTGAGGTTGTGAATTTTTTTTGTACAAATTAAATGAAAACTCTTCTGCTAGAGTACCTGCAAATTTTTGTTTTGTAAATAATCCATTGATAAGCTTCTCTGAGTCTTACATTTCTTTGGCTTTTGGGTAGTCATGTTTTCTTGGTTTGTTGGTGCAACATTTCTGTTCACTGAAATAATGTGACTTGAATATAATTTTTTTTGTTAATGATTATAAGGCAAATGATTCATAATGGGAAGTAATCTGTTAATGATTGAAATAAGGTGTTGAATTTCCAACTTTGATGTAGATGTTCTCATGTTGCTCTGACATCATTCAACTAAAATTAAGAAATATAAAAATTATCAAAGCTTCACTCATTAAAGAATTATACTGTACAAAAATGTCAATTAAAAATAGAAATTTATACAGGTGACAAGGCTTTAAGATATAAAAACTATTGCCCTGTAATTTTTAACAAACTTTTTTGTTATAGAAATGATTGGGTCAGATGATAGCTGGCTATTTATAAGCTTATTGAGAACACCTGCATTGATTTTGAATTTGGTTTCATTACTTCTCTTCCTTTTGCCATTGAATGATTTTCTTAGTGTGGAAACTTGAAGCTTGATGTTAATTTTAGATTCAATTAATAATACTAAAATTATTTTGTACATTACTGCTCTTTTTCTGCATTGTTTATAATGTTTTTTGTCTTTTTATGAGTTTATTTACCTAATGCACTGCTTGGTTCCTCCTTCTCCTTTCTTTTTATGGCTGAAGATAATGCTGATCAGGAGAATGTGCCACCACCTCAGATTTTGCCTGCCATTTGTGCACTTGAGTTTCCTCGCTCTCTCAGATCTGCACTCAAAGGTTTGTTTCGCTTCATTAAAAACAATATTTATTTTCTTTCAACTTCTGCACTTAGCAAAGAATGAGCATTCTTTCTGTTCAGTAACTTATATACCTACTAATTTTTTTTTATATTCTAATTTTTTATTATTTTACCCCAGTTATGTGTACATATGGATAATTATTTTGGCCCTTTGTTCCTCATCCCTGGATAGAGCACTTGTTAAAGCTTGTAATAATTTATTGTTGTTTGTTCATGTTATCTTGGGAAAAAATTATTCTCCTTTATTTATCATTTTAACACATTTTCCGTTCAGAGCTTAGTGGAAAATCTCAAGTTTTCTCTAGAATGTCAAAATTTAACTCTTTTTGTTTGATCTGTTCAATTGAAAAATTGTGGTTTGATAGATAACTGTGATATGTATCAAATGAAACAGTCAATGTTGTTGTGTTGGCAGGTTTGGAGAGTCTTCCATGTGAGCTGCAGCGCAATTTCCTACAAATGCGAGAGCTAGACCAGCAAACACAAGACCTCATGTGCACCATAGATACAGTTAGTTTTGCTCCTCTAATTATTGTCTAAGATTTTGTGTACAAATGCTGATGTCAGGAGACTGGATTCATAAATTGGGTAGAGGAAAGTTGGTTTTGAAGATTTGAAGATTTAATCTTCCACTGATATTATTTTAAATCGAATTTTCTTGAAAATCTCATTTGATTCTGTTCTTATTTGTTGTAATTCTGAATGTTGAACATCACTAAAAGATATGTGTGCATCAAATTACATTATAATATGTTAGTGTAAATCATTTACATGCCATAAGTTTGCCTCCAAAAATATCCATCTTGGAAGCATATTTGTAATGTTGACACTGCACTATGATTCTAAGGATAACTTTGGAATACAATTGGATGGAATATATGGTAGTTCTTTTCTATAGAGTTGTCGGGCCAAGAGATAAAAGTTAAAGTTTATTAAATGTTTAAGAGAACTTTCTTCTGTTTTGCCAGGCATCAGACATGTATTTGAAGGAGGTTTGTCTCTTACCAAGTGAAGAGCGTTCAGAAAAAATCAATAAAATATTGAAGATGTTCAGCAGAGCAAAGGAGTACAGTGACAACAAAGTGCATCTTGCCGTTCAGACTTATGAGTTGGTGAGTTCAGCTGATGATCTCAAGCTTAGCAAAAAAAAATCATTGCCAGTGCTTGATGTTGTATTGCTTAATGGAACATTCAATTTAAATTACAGACTATGAAATCTTAGAGCATTCCAATCCTGCAAATGATCAACTGTTGCAGATAATTATCATCAGTGGGTTATACCCTGAAAACATTAACAATAATACAATTTTAAAATTAATTCCATAAAATGCAAAAGTACCATAGTATTAAAACCAAATTTTTACCTTAAGGTGGACAAACACATCAGACGCCTGGACTCAGACCTGGCTAAGTTTGAAGCTGAAGTGAAGGAGAAGCCACTTCTTCAGGCCAACAAAAAGGAAGAGGAGGTTGCATCCAAGAAAAGTAAGCAACTTAGTATTTCAAAAGCACTTGTTCTATTTAAATAGTTACCTATCAGGCTGCCAGTTCCCCAGGATAAGGTGTTAAAAATATAACTCAGTACTCACTACAGTGAGTGACAGAGAGTGCATTTTCTCATCAATGAAAATGTGAAGTCACGGACGGACACACAGACAGACGGACGGACATGGCAAGCACAATAGCGCCTTTTTTTCCATAGATGAGAAAATGCGCTAAAAACATAGAAAAATTATTGTTACCTAATGTAAATCCTCTTCCTTTACATTGGAGGCTAAACTAATAAAGCCTCACAAAAGTTACATTTATGAGAGTATAATAAAAGTTATAATTTGAATATTGATGGACCTTCTCAGTAATAGTTGACCCCCGTGCACTTCTTCTAAATATCCAAAATATATTGATAACTGAAATATTCATGTCAATAAACAAAAAATTAAGTAGGTACCTATTGCATTTTTCTTGTGAACCCTTGCTTTTCAATAACAACATCTGCATCATGCTTCAAATCATTACCAACTATTTGGAAAAAATTTTCCTTAGATACTTTTTAGTGCATTTTCTCATAAAATGCACTATTGTGCTCGCCATGTCCGTCTGTCCGTCCGTCCATCTGTCTGTCCGTCTGTCTGTCCGTCCGTGACTTCACGTTCTTGTCGACGAGAAAATGCGCTCTCTGTCACTCACTGTAGTGAGTATACTGAGTTACGGTATATTTTTTTAAATTATCGACAGGATTGTAAGCAGCATTATTATTCACAAAAAGAATTGTAAATGCAATAAATGTTTTTATCTCACTTTAGAAGGTCGTAAGAAGAAGGAGGAGGTGCCTCTGAGCAAGGCTGGTAAGCTGAAAAAGAAGAAGCGTCCAGGGGCTGCTGCGTCGGACGATGAGGAGTTACCTGTCAAAACTGCTGCTGGCCGCAAGAAGAAGAAAATACGTGGTAGTCATCCATCTTAAATAATATTTGGATTAGTCGTAGTTTTTCATCTTGATATTGTTAGTGTGGTAGTCCTCCTTGAATAATGATATTTGGATTAGTCGTAGTTCTTATTATTAGATATTGTTAGTGTGGTAGTCCTCCATCTTGAATAAGAATATTTGGATTAGTCGTAGTTCTTATTATTAGATATTGTTAGTGTGGTAGTCATCCATCTTGAATAAGAATATTTGGATTAGTCGTAGTTCTTATTATTAGATATTGTTAGTGTGGTAGTCATCCATCTTGAATAATGATATTTGGATGAGTCGTAGTTCTTATTATTAGATATTTTTAGTGTGGTAGTCCTCCATCTTAAATAATAATATTTGGATTAGTCGTAGTTCTTTTTATTAGATATTGTTAGCATGGTAGTCCTCCATCTTGAATAATGATATTTGGATTAGTGGTAGTTCTTCATTTTATATTTTTTTAGTGTGGTAGTCCTTCATCTTGAATTAAAATAATATTTGGATGAGTCGTAGTCTTTAGTGTTTAATAATATTTGGATTATTGGCAGTTCTTCATCTTAGACGTTGTTAGTGTGGTAGCCCTCCATCTTAAATAATAATTTTTGGATTAGTCGTAGTCTTTATTGTTGAATAATAATAGGATTAGCAGTTGTGCTTAGTCTTAAATAATATTTGGGTTAGTGTTAGTCCTCCATCTTGAATAATAATATTTTGATTAGTGGTAGTCTGCCATAATTGATAATAATATTTTTATTACTGTTATTCCTTCATCTTGGATATTGTTAGTGTTGAAGTCCTTCATCTTAAATAATAATATTTGAATTACATTGCTAATTTTTACCTACTTTATATTGTATGGCTTGCTCTATTTTTCATTGTAGAGAATTGTGGATCTGGTTTGATTTCCATCATAAAAATGGTAAATCGAACAAATTAGGTTTATTTAATTACCCTAAAAGTCATTTGGTTTTTTAATTTAATTACTCAGATTATTTTTTTATTTGATTACTCGGAGTAATTAAGGTTATTATTTCAGTCTTACTATCATTTCCAGTCCTCACTCAATGCGTTACCGCAATCAATAATTAAGTTTCCTTACAGAAGAAGGCGCGTCAACAGCAAGCGGCGGCAGCAGCGCGACGAGCATTGCTTCTGTGCTACCAGCATTGTCAGCTCTCTCCGCCATCGTCCACCCCAGCGAGGCCATGGACATGCCTGTGGACCCCAACGAGCCTACATACTGTCTCTGCCATCAGGTCTCCTATGGCGAGATGATTGCCTGCGACAAAGCCGATGTGAGTTGCTGTCTAAGCCTGTCATAGAGCAATAAAATAATGAGACAATATTGAAGGAAGATTATACTTATTGTTGGCAGGATGTTATATTTTTCTGATGCATTGGATTTTTGCAGTGCCCCATTGAGTGGTTCCACTTCGCGTGTGTAAACCTTACGACGAAGCCCAAAGGCAAGTGGTACTGCCCGCGTTGTAGTGCAGACGTCAAGAAGAAGAAATGAGAGTTCCACTTCCAGACTGCGTGACTCATCAAAATATATCTCGTTTATCCTACTTCCTACTGCGATGCGCCTGAGAGTGTATCTCGTTTACCCTACTTTCTCTAATGCGATGCGCCTGAGAGTATATCTCGTGTATCCTACCTTCCAACTTCGATGCGCCTGAGAGTATATTTCGTGTTCCTACCTTCTCTGCTCAGCTTCCTACCACCTGTTTCTTTTCAACTCTCAAATGCTTTAATGTTCTGGAACCTTTTTTAAAAAATCGTTGATTATTTTGTTTAAATAATTGCACTTTTAGGCCATAAACACATTCCACTGTGTAATTTTTGATCTGAGTGACATTTATGATTTGGACATTATTTTGGAGGTATAAAAATTCAGTTACAATAACTTTTCATTATTGATTTTGATTAACAGAATAGGACTGGCTACAAGCACACATGACTTGTGTGGCAAAGCTTTTGATTAACTTGTGATGTTTTCCCTTCGGTCTTTAGTCATAGGTAGCACATATTGAATGGAAGTTTATTGAGTTTAATCGGACCATTCGTGAAGAGGCGAGTGAATGATTCATTTTGCTATCGCCTTTCTGTACATATTGTTGTTCAGTTGTGTGTAGATGGATAATTTTATCGTACTATGCAAGTATTTCTTTTTTCAGTTTAAATTTTTTGTTGAAGTGACTGCAGTTCCGGAAAATTCCTGGTTTCACCCTTCCTCTTCTGCCATGGCAGCACTTCTGTTTTAACGCGCTTTTTCACCACTTGCCTCTTCACTATTGACTAGCGTATTCATTGAACTACGATTATTAACTTGCCGAAACATTTTTGGCGCGTGGATAGGGGCGATATATAGGGGTGTCATGAAAACTAAACCAACCTTTTATTTGATACGTCTTCATTTCAAATTGGCAAGTGCAATTTTATATTATTTCTACAGCGTATGGTTGAAAAAAAAAAATTCATTCTACTTACCGAGCTCAAAGGGACATTTTTGCGGACCTGACTCGTCTCAATCTTGCCGGTTATGTTTGTGCAGAATTTTCTTTTGCAAACTTTATTTTTCTTTTCCTCAATGTTAGGAACACGCGCATTTACAGTAAGATTTCTTTTCTCCCTATAAAGCTGAAGGATGAAATAGAAATAAATTCTAACGTTTATTTGCTGGTACTAGCGTCTCGAGCAAAAATTGTTAATTAAACAATTTAATTAATGATTATTGTCGCGTCGAATAACCTTTATTCATCAAATGATACACAATAGAATGCAACTAAATTTTTCTACTTAGAGACTAGTGTGGTCTTTGCTTAGTGCGACTATGGTTGATAATTTTATTCCCTTCTACAAATTTTCATATATTTTGAGTCGCGTGCAAATCCGAAACAATTGACGACAAGTGTTAAATGTAAGTACAAAGTATTGATACTGTAAGGTTGCGATCTCGATAAAGACTGAAGGAAAAGTAACTATGTCTAGAATGATCGTCGTTAACAAAGTCATGCAAATCAACTGATTATACTCGCTTTTCGGCCGGTAACCACCTGATTAATACAATCAATTCCTAAAGAGAACTTGGTCAGTCGTAATCGGTAATAATATACTTGTCCAAATCTGTGGAAATATTGTACACTATCTTACGTTTCATTGTACATTGTGCTCCTCTAACCTTTAAGTGAAGAAAACTAGCATGTTATTAGATAACGACTTTCATTACCCAGTAGACAATCCATGTGTAAAACAGATGTAATTATTGGTTATAGTTAGCGAATCAACGAGGCACTAGTCAACAATTTTTTTATGTTAAACACAACAAACTCTGTAGATGTGTTGCTATAAACGGGTGGGTAATTTTCACTCAAGGCAGAAACAAATTCATCTTAAGAAATGACAGCTGAAAAATTTTTTACCCAAGACGCAAAGAAATTTATCGTGTGAACACAATATCTGTATGACTATGATGAGATTACAAATAACAGATTAGAAATGATGGTGTTGACATATCATACGTAGCATACACTCCTGAATAAAGAAATTGAATTTATCCTTCAATGCTAATTTAACTTGCAGTTCATTTCACATATGATGCTCTGTGAAATTGATGCTCATTCTCACAGAAATGTCAAATTATGAGGATATTATGTAATTCATTCGGGTGTTTAATCTTATGTTAGTCAAAAAAAAAAACTTTCGTGAAGACACGTTAATGGAGGCTTGTAAAAGAAGGTCCCGATTCAACAAGGTATTATATAGTTGGTCAGTCATGAAGCGCTTGAAAATGCAGGTACAGTCGGCAGCTAAAAAGTTCCCAGTGACAAGAAAGCTAAAGTACAAGACTAAACCTTACATGCGTCAACTATTACTGCTTGAGGCATTACGAAGAAATTATTTCAGTATACCTAATATCTAATTAGCTAAGAAGATGAGTCTTCACTACAGCTCAGATTGAAGAAGTGAAAAATGATTGCATGCAGCATTGAACTTACGCATCTGGTTTTAAAGATTCATGCTTATGAGTTCAAAGCTCTATCAGACTAGTATTACACACAATAGCATATAATTAAAGCATAATTGAACACCATGCCATGGACAAATCCGAGATGCATGAAGACGCGGAGACAATGCGGTAGCTTAGGACTCTACAGACAATCTGAGAATATCAAGAAAACTAAAAAACAAGTAAATACAAAGTTTCGTATCATGCACAATCTTAATTTTTGCTAAGACCCCGTAATGTAGATTCAAAATTCGATGAATTTGCTAGTAAAGATTAGTTTCCTACCTTAGGCTATAGCGAACAAATGGAAGAGAAATCTCCGCGACAGTTATTTTCAATAAATAGAATACTACTCTGCAAGAACAATGTGACTGAAAGTACTGTATCACTAGGTATACAAGCAACACTCGTATCAAACAATAACGCTATAGCTTAGGCAAAACTTTACTCTATACTACATCTTAACAATTATTTGTATCCATTAAAATTGCAAACAACGTCACTAGAATTGTAGCACAAAACAACTTCATTTGAAATGAGTTATAGCAAAAATTCTAGCACTACAGTAACTCGACATTCGACGAACATGGACCTACTAACTATAAATATCACAAAACGAGAAATTGTACAGAGAAGCGGCGAGTTATTTTCTAGTGAAAGCTGCTAGTAGCTACGGAAGGAAGCTTTATTTGTAATTTATCATCGTTCATACTGCAGTACGTCATGTCCAAATGTTATACTTACAATTAAATCCTTGCCTCGACATCAAGAGCTCAAGCTTAGGCACTAGTTATTAGTAGTTTAGCGATTTATTAGCGCATAAGCAATGAAGCTGTCGGTATCAGGGCCTTTACTCTCAAAAAAAAAAAGTTAAGAGATCGTAAGTTCATCGCCAATCATTGACGGTCTTTCAAGCAAAATCCACCAATCATAGACAAGAAAATAGAGCGTAAGTACTTACGTTCACATAGCGAGCTTTGAAAGTATCCACCAATCATAGACAAGAAAATAGAGCGTAAGTACTTACGTTCACTTAGGCAGTTTTGAAAGTATGGCCCCAGGTAGTAGTAAATAAGATCATCCACAAGTTGGAATACCTCTATCATCAGAAATTTATCAAATAAAAATAATTCGTAGTCCAAAAGAAGCTCAGTTCTCGCGACCGGAATGCATGAAGTGGAAAAGTAATAGTGTTGCGTCTCATCAAGACCAAAAATTGAACTGCAACCCAAATACAGCAATATGCACATGCGGTCGCTTGCACCGAGGCATCGGCCGTCTACTCAAGAGAGAGACGGAGAAGTTAAAAGCAACGACATAACCTTGCAGTGAGATACATCGTCCTCTGACGTGATGCGTTTACGAACAATGATACTTGAGACAAAAGGTCTTCCGGCGAACTAATGTACCTGCCAGAAAACCACAGGGCCTATAATTTAAAAAAAAGTTAACAGATCGTAAGTTCATCAGCCAATCATTGACGGCCTTTCAAGCGAATCCACCAATCACAGACAAGAAAATAGAGCGCAACTACTTACGTTCACTTAGCGAGTTTTGAAAGTATGGCCCCCAGAGAAGACGACATTGATTAAAATACAATATTTTGATTCACTGGCAAGCGTCTGGACGAGGTGATACTTAGTAACAAACTGGCAACATTTGATGCAAGGCATACAGCAGTAAGAACGATATCATGATCCCATACATTATTAGTTCATTACCTAGACACTAAACGAAATGATATCAGACATCATTACCTCATAATAACCTATGGAACGAAATTCCAAGCCGTCATTCCGTCGGTTATATAACATATAAATCTTTGGTAATTCAGATCACCATCGAGGAGGGAAAGGTAGTAAATCTTCAGAAGACAGACCATCAAAATTGAATTAGAAACTTTAATGCACAACGGCTGGCTATTAGAACGTAAATGAGAAGGCCTCCTTACCATGAGAATCACAATGAAGACCTGACTTGTATATGATGTATGACCCAGGCTTCAATGGCCTGGACTCATTTTAATATTAATGACGAGTAAAAGTAAAGAACACATAACTGTGACACATTACATATCACGAGGAAGCCCAACGATAAAATTAATTGTAAATAAACACTACGACATTATTAGTTTCATTTTAATATTTACACAAGTTTAAGCAATAAGTTAGCTTCAAGTCAATTATAAAATTACAAAAAGTCAACCAAATTGATTAATGAAAAAATGCCCTATGCTTACAGCAGCAAGCCAGCAACGCTTAAAGAAGGAGTCTTATCACGCGTACGTCGAATAACTATAAATTTAAATCCGCAAACATGCCGGCCATTTACTTCCATATGAAGGCTTTTTTTTCGAATAAATAGAATAAAGAAAGCAAATTTTTCTAAGTCAATTTGAGAATAATCAGATGATTTGTGATCAAAAATTAGTGAAAAACTACGGTATAGAAGAGTCATTCCTTATACAACATTTGGAGGGCGGAACATCCCAGTTGTAGATGTAGGATGATCGCGATTTGAATGAATTTTTACACATGGTACCGTCTAACTGAATATGGTTGAATTTATCTCTCATGCTCTGGATTGTCTGCTTGTGAGTTACAATGTAATCGTTGTGACAGCCCCGAGACCTGTACTCTGTGTCAAACCGGGTATCGTGGATGCGGTGGAGCTGTAGGGGCGCTAGCCACACAGACAAGGAAACGTCTTCGCTGTTGTATAACTGGAACCACTTGCTATTGCTTGCTATGAACTCAACGAGGTCATGCGAGAGAATGTACCCACCTCCAAGAGCATACGGCAGATATCTATCGCACAGAACCCACTTGTCTTCCTTCCATGGACCTTCCTTGAACGGAGTGGCCCGTCCGTCAAAGAAACCCCAATATACCCTTAGCTTGTACGGGATAGACCTTAGCTCATACACAAGTCTGTCCAGTTGTACGTACGAGTCGTCATCACACTTCAGCAGGAAGCGATATCTCACGTTCTCGTGTATATGTACAGCCGACGAGAGCAACTTCTGGCTCAATGTGGAGTATGAATCCTTCAAGTTCGGTAAAAACAACATATCAGAAAACCTTCTCTGCTCTGATTGTATAGTAACATTCATGTCCTCAGACAAACCGTCAATTCCAACAGCAAAATAATGTAAACAATCCCTGCCTTCTTCCTTGAGCCAAGTTTGGCGAATGGTATTGCGCAGCTCAAAGTTCTTTGGTGCAGAAATGATGAGAATTACTAGGAAAACACTTTTTCGCTGCCCCACCCGATTTTTGTCCCAGTAACCTTGCCAGAGGCTGGTGTCATCCACGCTCATGTGTTGCAGACGTTTGGTGCACAGCTGTAGGTCGCACACGCTGGGGTCCATGGTGCTGAGGCTCAGGAAACTCCCCAGCAGAAAGCAGAAGAAGCAGCCACTAAGATATGCAAAATTTTGCACAGCTTTGCGGCACATTAGGTGGCTGGACAGTCCACTACGGCGCATCTTGAGAGATCTGCACAATATGTAGTTAATTAGTTACGTTTTATGCAATCTATCATTATGTTTGATTAGCAGTTTAACATGGCTTGCTCAATAAGATGAAAAACATATATATATAGTTCATTAAAAGTAAATAATATGGCTTTGTGGTACATGTTAAAAACCTTGCAAGAAATGCATTGGCAAAAAGTAAACAAAATATAATGTATCCACTTTGATAAAACATTCAATAAATGCTATGCATACTGAACTCAAGGAAGCAATTCAAAAGCACATCAAATGCATGCAGAAGCAAGGTTACAGTTATCAAGGTCAGCTTGATAAATGATTAGGAACATCATTTCCTTATGAATTACTAATCAATGATAATTGATAAATTTAATAAATCATGAGCAGGGCCATGCAAACCTGCTAGTTATCTATAATGCTTGTAAAATATTGCTCCCTTCTCAAACTATGAATAATGCAGGAAACAACTGCTACTTGCATTAGCAAACATTTAGCATACTGCGGTCTTATTAATACACAAATTATTTGGGTAATTTTGGCTCATTCAATATATTTATTGGTCTGGTACATAGCTATGGTTTTGATTGTCAGGAAATTACCTTGCAATATCTATAACTTTATTTTTAAATTGTAATTGATGTGATTATAACCTTTGTTAGGTTTAAATTCCATTGAAAAAAAAGAGCTGAGAAAAAGTCTCTTTTTAAGTATAGTAATAAAGCTTTGGACAAATGGATTTGGGGTGACTGTGGATTTGGGGTGATTGGATTTGGGGTGATTGGATTTGGGGTGATTGGATTTGGGGTGATTGGATTTGGGGTGATTGGATTTGGGGTGATTGGATTTGGGGTGACTGGATTTGGGGTGACTGGATTTGGGGTGATTGGATTTGGGGTGACTGGATTTGGGGTGAGTGGATTTGGGGTGATTGGATTTGGGGTGATTGGATTTGGGGTGACTGGATTTGGGGTGACTGGATTTGGGGTGACTGGATTTGAGGCGACTGGATTTGCGGTGACTGGAATTGAGGTGACTGGATTTTTGGTGAATGTATTTAGGATGACTGAATATGAATTTTTGGATTTGGGACAATCAGATTTTGGGGATGGTGGGACTGGGAATGAAGGAAATCTAAAAATTGCAATTATAATTGTCGTGAGCAATGCTATGCTAACCTGTTAGGTACAAAATAAAGCAGAAAAAGTTGCCACATGAGTAACGTCTATATAGACTCCCATTATTTGTGATCATTCACAAAGCTTCAAAGTAACATTTAAGAAGCAAAGGACCTAACTACCATTTAACAGTATAACCATTACATAATTAACCAGCAGCTGGGCAAAAATTATATATTTCAAAGTAGAGAGTTGACAACTGATTCCACCAACTCCTAAGCCTCACCATAATGCCTTTATAATAATATGCTCAAAAAATGTATTTACTTGAATTCCATGAGCAGTATAAGGACTGGGCATCTCAGGCATACAGACAATACTGGTCAAAACCCAGGGCATAGTTATTAAAGGTTTATAAAAGTGATATAGGCATAGAGCTAAAAAGTTATGCAAAACATTGTAAATAGGTTCCTACCTTTTTTCCAGAGGTTGAGATACTTGACATATACCTGTCTGGAGAATTTATAAGGGTATTCAATCAACTAATGTGGGCCAGGTTGGAAAGATTTTCAACATTGTACATGGATCATGCAGGAAGCTTGAAATGGGAATCAGGAATAATTTTCTATTGTCAAGCATCAATGGTGAATTGTGGGTGCATTATTCTGAAAAATATTACAAAATAGCATGATAGACAGTAAATTAAATTCTATTTACTGTGAACATAAATGTGATGACTAATACATGTATATGAAAGGTTGAATTCTAGGAATATTGGTTTATATATTCAAGATTGATATAACCTGGCAACTTGCTGTTTCAAAATACCAAATACCGTACTCAAGTTATATATAGTGTCATGATTTCAGATCCAATATTTACCGGTGCACATGTTTATGTATGTACCACTGCTCCTGATTTCCACCCTGCTTAACCCATTAACGCCCAAATTTTTGATTTGTGAAATTTCTATCTGAACACCTTCATATAGTGTAAATATTTCATATAAACAGTTTCTGCACAATTTTAGAGGATATAATGAGAGTAGCAGTAGTTTAAAGAAAAAGTCCCAAATGGGGATCATGGGCAAAAGGGGAATAAAACTACCGATTATTTTCGTCACCGTTCTTATTATTATTTCCAAATTTATGAAGTATGTGCTATTAGTGCCTCTTTCTAATGCTAAATGCACATTCCTTTATTTGTCACCACAAAAATTCAAACTAAATATATGAAAGTAATAATTACCCTCAAAATGAGAGTAATTTCACTGATGCCATGCAGGGAAGCTTTCAACGTGTAGCCCAACGATGCACTTGGTACATTCCTTTCAGACATTTATTTTGCGAACGACGCAATACCGTTGTCTTTCAACATCTGTTCGCTGCAGAACATGCTCTGAATTACTTCTTCCAAAGTCGTCCAACACACGCCGCTTTGATTCCTTACTGAATGATTGGCGACCTGACTTCTTTATAGGATCTGACATATAGATGATACATTCACATATACCCTTACTATTCTCCTCTTGAATTCCAGCAAGGGCATTTGTCCGTTTGCCATGTAAAGCAGAATGAGTTATGACTGTCATATCAAGAAAGTTTGTGAAAAGTGAAAAATACCATTTCTTTCCACGAACTTTGATCCTGTATTTATTGATGAGTCAATCCATTTTATTCACGCCACTCATGTACTTGTAATCGGCAATGCGCTTTGGTTGTTCTAATGAGTCCTGGTCCATCTTCTGTTTGCTCCATCTTTTCACTTTTTCAGTCGGCTCTATAACTTGATGATTTGACAACATATTGACATCGTCGTTGTCTTTCCATACAACAGCAAAGATGTTCTGGCTAATGTCTTTGCTGTATCCAATAAAGCCCTTTTATTGCTTTTTCAAGGCTTTTACTCTTTGTTCAGATGCGAGAGGTCAGTTGTTGGCACGATTGAGCCTCACTGTCCCAGAAGCTGACACATTTCGTTCAGTTAGTAACTTCAATAGATCGAAACTCGTGAAAAAATTGCCAAAAAGGATACATGATCCGATGGATTACTAGCTTTTGCAACTTTGTTCAGGGTAACTGATGCTCCTAGCCCATTGACAGACAATGAATCTTCTTTCTTGCCTTCATAAAGATCAAAATCGAAACAATATCCTGTAGTTGAACAGCTCAGCACAAAGTTTTTGAAACCAAACCGAAAAGGCTTCTCTCTGATGAACTGCTCCAGGAAATGGTGTCATAATATTGAACCATTTGCTCACCAATGCTCAGATTTTAGTAAAAAGAACCGAACATCAAGAAGAGTTGGTTTATCATTTCAATTATAAGAGCTATCTTGAACAATTTTTGGCCTGCACAAGTTCTCAATGTTGAATTATCATTGAAATGATGGTTTTGGTTCAGCTCAAGCTACCGGTTCCGACTGTTCTGTTTCATTTCCAAACCAAAAATATGTGATGAAATGATTTATTTTGCATCATTCCTTCAATTTCCTTTACTAAATGAATGATAATGTTGCTAACTTTTGTTACTTTATGAAAAATTTAGGTAATACATCAGTATGTGGTAAAATACATTTTCCTTTGCTTTACGATAATGTTACTGCCCATGATCCCCAAATGGGGATCGGCATAAAATACATATTTACAGCATTACTAACAGTATAATTGAGATTAACCTTAGAATTTTTAGAAGAACATAGACTATTCTACCACCTACTATGGTATTATGAATCAGAAATGTTTATAAATGGGAAAAATGTACATGTCAAAAATTGATATATCTGTCACATCAAGATTAAGGTCACTTCTCTCAGAAAATTTCATATATTCGATTTTTCAGACAAATGGATACAGTTTTAACTGATCTCAATCGATGTCTATAACCTTTATGTATACTTTATTGAAGAAGAACATGTTCCTGATCAATAGTTCAGGAATAATATCCATAAAATCAAACGATCCCCAATTGGGGATCATGGGCGCTAATGGGTTAAGAGGATAGTTGCATGGCACTAGTAATAAGGGACAGTTTTTTTTGTTTTTCCTTGATATCTTCTTACTGTGAAACATTTTATAAGCAAGTTTGGGCTCATTTTAAGGGTCTTTGAAAGGGCCGTTGCATAGCATCCCCCAAAACCTTTTATTCTATGCTACCCAGTTCACAATTCTATCTAGGACATTATGCACAATTTTGTGCTGACTGATGATGCATTAATTTCTTGTTAATAAGTAAAATTTTTTGGTTGAGAGAGGCAAATTCAATGAAAATTCTTTGTCATTAACTAATTTTTTGTTGATCAGAGCCTTTGCTAACCAAGATTCTACTGTAAATGCATTTTTAGGGGTGTTTATATTGTGATAATTTTTTTCCTTTCACCTTCATTTCCTAGTAATGTAGAAAAGGCTGCACAAAAGGATAGGATATATATTACTAATAATATTAGGCTCACTGCAAATTTAGGACTGTATTAATCACAAAGGAAAGCAAAATAAAAAAATGCTCACAGCCTAAATATCACCATAAGGTCTAACTGAATATTTGTTCAAACTTTAATAAAGCTGCATTAATCATTTAGGGAGATATTTTAGGCTTGCTGGAACTTGGAGACTGGCTACAAGCCCAGCCATAGAAGTTTGAAAGGCTAGGTATATATACATATATTGCCCTAAGTGCTTGCAGTAGGGTTCTTTGAATAAATAGCTTTGTTTATGAAAAGGTAAAGCTTGCTCTTGATTATAACATATTATGCATATGAAATTTGCTAAAAATCAGAATTTAGCACCCTAGTTAAAATCTAAATGAACTCTGACAGTATTTACAGAAAAGTATTGTCTATAAATATCTTTGTTCTTAGCATAGTCAAGATTGATTTGAATAACTTATGCGTATTAGAATAGACATACAAGGAAAATTTGTTCCAAAAATTTATCTCAAAATTGTCAATGCAATCAGTCAACAAAAGTGCATGGGCCATCCAATTAGCATGACACTGCATAGCCATCTTGGGCCTGATAATGTTGCAGTCAAGAAGTGTTATAGGCTACATTCTTGAAGGAAGGGATCATGATAGTCCATTCCAATTTCCAAGCACAGCAGTGCTGGTCTCCGATCGGTGTCCTGGACTCCTGATGTACCAAACTGGGATTTAATCTTCAACTCCTTAGTCCCTGCCCTATCCTGATACTCAGAAGTCTAACAGTTTAACTACATACCTCTGGTCAGGCATGGAATATATCTACTTGGCAAGCCACGATTGAATAATTTTTGGAGCCATGGTTTTATGGATTTGCCAGCCGTGATTCCATTTCTTTAAACTGTGACTTAATTTCTTCAAGTTATGATTTAATTTCTTCAAGCCATGAATTCCATATCTCAGCTATTAAAAGCCATTTATGAGCCAGCAGCCTCAAACTTTTTACTAAGTCCTGCGCACGTGTTACCACTAATCCCCAATTTTACCCTAAAAATGGTCAACACTAACATTTGTCTTCACTTGAGTGGCAACTGATCAAGTGATATTTATACGGTGATAATGCAGTCTGACCACTCGCGCGCTTAGACATGACTGCAACTACGCAACCTATAAAGAAATGTTTCAATTTGACTTGTTGTTGTTTCATTATGCAGGATATTTTGGCAGGATTGTTGAAATAGTAGAGATTGTGGAAATTGGAAATTTTATGAAGTGTCACATACTCACATTTGCAGTTTAGCAAAGTGCAAACCAAGATTTTTTAAATCAAATAAAAATAAATGACATAAGAGCCATGAGATTTCATACCTACTGGAATTATATGATATTAGAGCCACGATATTTCAGAAAAAAATAAGACTTGTCCAGCCCTGCCTCTGGTTCTCCCTGACCTTTGGTAATTCAAGTTGAAATGATTTTTTAATCATAATGATTGACCATTGATGCAGATGCAGTGAGATCAGCAGTTGACTGTTGAGGCAAGTTCAGGCAACCATCACTGGGACTGGTAGTGGTCACGTGGTGGAAAGTGGCTTCCACTGTGCAGAGAGTGAACAAAGATTTAAAGACCTACGGCGACGCATTATCGGCAAAATTTTCGCCCTCAGAAGATCTTGCCGACACATTTAGATTGAAATTCTTGCATTTAATATATTTCTCAGTCTTCAGCCAACTATTTAGAAAAAAAGTAAGGTTTCCGGTACGTTGGATGAATTACGATGCAGCAAAGCTTGTCCGGAAATCAGTTGCGATGAGTTCCCGCAAAAAATGTAAACAACATTTTTTCGATTGCGTAGTTTCGGTCGCATTAGAGCGGTCAGACTGCTTTATTACTTGTTCAGTTGACACTTGCTGTACAACCGGACTGTTGGCTTGTAAATAGTTCGTCATTACTCAGCGTAAGTGGCTTTTCATTAAAAATTACCCGGCGACGCATCTTTAAAATGGCCGGCGACGCTTTGGGCTTAAAAATCCATATATTGCTGACGCTGCATGATCTGCATCCACCCTCTGCATAGTGGAGTGGCTTCACCGCTTCACCAACACTCCGGCAAATCGCAAAGCTGCAAGCATGCAAATTGCAAAGCATGCATATGAAAAGACTCAAAAGAGCCATGTTTCAGTCTTTCAAACATAATCACTCAAAAAACACTGCTCATTTTGCGTTCCTTACACCGCAGGGCTGCTTGATAT